ACCAGAGCCGAAAAACGAATTTTTCATCGTTGATCGTTGATCGATCGATGAACAGGTAGGTCGTGTTGAAATGGGGAATGAAATTTTTGTATGAAAATAATTCACTACGTTTAAAGAAAAACCAAGAGATGCGCGATAAAAACATTTTCGTCTTGTAATCGTCGTATTTTTTTTTTATTTTAGATGATATTATTGAATATTAATCATTTATTGGTCGTACTATATTTGTTATTTATAGTATATTTTCTAAGATAATGAGATTTTTGTTCTTAAAATGCAATTTAGTGTACGCGAAAGCTTTAAAAATATAATATTAAATGAATAATAAATATATTCGTTATTATAAATGTAAATAAGGTGATGAGAGATAATTGTATGTAGATAATTGTATCGCATTATCCTATATAAAGACAATGGTAATATAAAACCGATAAATCAAAATATAGTCCTACACCCTGGTATATAAAAGCAAAACACTTATGTATTATAGTACCCGACTAATCGTAATCACGATACGTTAGAAATTCTTCTCGCACCTACGACTCGGATTTTACTGGTCGCAATATGCCTTTCATAATGTGTCGTTTATTAATCGTGATCGTTCGAAGATAACGATGACGGTCGTCGTCGTCGTTGTAGCAAAGTGGTTTCAAGCTCGAAAAGTAACATTACTCGTTGGCAAACGCTACGATATTAACCTGAACCCGTGCACTATGCATCGACGATAAAATAGAATTATCGAAATAATATATTGAGAAAGTCGCGATTCTAACAAAAAAAAAAGAAAAAAAAACAAAATATATGGAAGAAAAAAGAAAAGAAATGTCAATCAATACTTTCAACAATTTTCAACACAATATTACTATTTTTGGATATTAATTATTATTGTCGAAAATTAATAATGAAATATCGTTAAAGAAATATCTTGTCAATGTAAATTTTTGTATATATAAAATCAAATCAGTTGCAACAACAATTTGAAGAATTTTTAATAGAATTTAAAAAAGTTCTTGCGAAAACAGCAGCAACGGAACAGCAACTTTCTTCTTCTTCTTCTTCCTTCTCTCTCTTTCCAGATGATCTTTTTGTCTCTTTTCGTTGTAACTAACGTTAAGAGAAAAGTTGCGAAAAGTGAGATCAAGCTTGTAAGGATAGACGACGGATAGGAGTCGGGAGTAAATACGAGGAGCCTTTCTAATTCCAAAGACGGACCCACCACCACTATCTCCTTCGAGAAGTCCTTGGTAAGAAGGTACGAGTGGTGGGGCGTCGTCCTTGACACCTACCGTAACTTTTGTTGGACGGCTGCGTCTCGAGAATTCTTTCTTACCGCCCTACCACCCCGCCCTACCCACTAACCCTTTCGATTTATTATCGATCCTTTCGACTCTATCAAAATCTGCGTCATTTTTTAACGCGTTTCTTTATCCACACTCGGGATCAATTTTTAAGTGAAAATAAAAAGAACAAAAAAAAATAGAAAAAATATTCTCTTCATTATTAAACAAATTTTTGTATTTTGTATTTGAATGTAACATATATCTCTATCGAGATTCGCGATTAATTTTAACTGGATTGAAAAAAAAAAAAAAGAAAATAAAATGAAACCGGAAAAAACAACTTTCATTTAGATAACTATGGCGATGTAATTTAAAAATGTTACACACATTTGATATATATATATATTTTTTTTTATATTATATATATATACAGATTTATATATAATAATAAATAAGTTCTATCGATAAGATTAGAAAATGTGAAATGAAGAAATAAGTATTTCGTTGTTGGTAAGAGGAACGTGTTAAATGTTAGAAGATTCGATAAGAAACTCACGCACATCGTAACACGAAGCTTTCCTTCGATACTCGAAATAAGAATAAACGGGATATCGCTCGGCGTAGATAGAACGCGTGTCGATGTCACACCTATCGATCTTCGTAAAAGGTGCAAACGATATTTCTTCGTGACGAAACGAAAAGAAACGAACGAACGAACAAACGTGCATGTTGGATCACAGAAAAGGATAGTAGATACATAGATAGCTATCCGAAATCATGGAACCCTCGTGAATCCTTTCGGTTCAATTAAATTTCACTTTGTTCATACATATTCATGTACAAATCGTTATACCTTCTACCATTTTCTTCCCCGACACAAATTCAAAATTAATCCTACACTTTCTTTTCAATTAATTACAAAATTTTCGAAACTATCAAAAACAATCTAAAAACTTATTCGTTAAAGTAAAACGAATCCCCCTATTATTTTATTTTATTTTTTTGTATTCTTTTCGTTGGAAATTAACATCGAATAATAATTGAAATTGAACAAACAAAAAAAAGAACAACGTACGAATAAAGTTTGATGATCCCCTCGCATAACTTACTTTATTAATAACCAGACACACTGAAATAAAACAAAAGAGAATAATAAAAGATATTATTTGTGATAAAGTTTCTTTTTTCTTTTTCTCTGGCCAATAATTGGTCGCAATGACATGAATCCTTGTTATTCGCAAAAAAGAAATGAAATTTGATAACGATCGGATTATGTGAAAAGTTTTACATACGTTCATCACTCGATGATATTGGTCTCGAAAAAAGAAATTTGGAGCAGTTGTTAAAACACCATTTTAGAGCTTCTACGATATTATTTTCCAATCAGTTGTTCCATTCCGTTCGGAAAACATGAACGTTTTCAATGTTTTTATCCGTGCTTTTTATTATTATATATGCATATATTTTTTCTACGATTTCTTATAACACAATTCTACAGAAAAATCCTCTTATTTTCCATTTTTTTTTCTCTATTTCTAGAATTATCAATACAACAATAAAAGCGTAAAGAAAATAGCGTGAAATCCAATGGTTATGTTGTCCTCGGTTGAATTAAAATGAAAAAAAAGAAAAAAAAAAAAGAAGAAAATTAGAAAAATATATTTTCCCAATTTAAAATTGCACATCGTGTTTATCGTTCGAGATATATACGTAAAGTTCTTTGATGTAATAGAAAATAGATGATCGATGGATGATACAACACAACTTTACGTTCACACGAAAGTATTAATGTCGATGGTAATAATCGATCGATTATGCAATAAACAATACAAAAGAAACGTTTTCATCGTTCGCACGAGTCCACGAGGCTTCGCTAACTGACGGATTTATCGATAATTGGAATATTTAGAAGCCATGCGGTTTAGATAGGAATAGAAAAGAAAGCGATACAAATAGATTCTACGCGAACGAATATGTTAATTCTATCATCTTTCATATTTATTTTTTTCTTGAGTTTTTTTAATGAATTAATTCTATTTTGTTTTATTTATTTTTTACTTTTTCATTATCTCTATAAAACAAACAAAATTTTATTTTCTTCAAATTTGTTTAATATCGTCTATATATATGTATATATTTTTTTTATCTATTATTTTATAAATACGTGTTACATTTTCATATACCAAAATAGATATTCAAAATCATGCACGAAACTTTGCAACTGAACAAAGTTAATTAAAGAAACAATAAAAGTATGAATTTTAATGAAACAATTAATTGATGTTAACGTCATTCAGGAAAAAAAAAAAGTATGGTTAAAAATGAAAATTCGTAGGATTAGCGTGAAATTGATTTCACCTAATAAAAATTGGCCTAAAGCAATTTATGTCTTCGATGTAAGTTAGACAAGGAAAGATCCATTGTAATATTTAAATTTCAAGATTTATAGATTAAGAAACAAACGTAATTAATACGTTACAATGATCATGAAAATGTTTTATCGAAATTTTCAAACTTGAAAATTACAAAATGAACGAATGCATTGAAATTATTATTAAAATTTACATGAGAGATCAATCAAAAGATACAAGAAAATAATCAACAAATTTGTGTAGAAAATAATTTTTTACGACAAATTCGTACGAATTCGTTCGATCCGATCTAAGATAAAATTACCTCGAATCGAAGATAACAAAAAGAAATCCTGTGAAAGGTATATAAGACGTAAACAAAAAATAAACACGTGTCGTAGAACACAATCATTATATATCTACTAAATAATAGATTTTCAAATAAAACTATCTCGAAACGAAGATAACAAAAAGAAATCTTTAATAAATTTCATGCGAGATATAAAAACAAAAAAAACAACATGTGTCATAAAACGATCGAATTGAATAATAAATTGAATAATGAAAAATGATATCACAAAAATCGAAGATAAATTGAAAATTAAAGTATTTCCGATCGAAGATAACGAAAATACATTTTCAAAAAATTGTCTACGATACAAAAATCACCACGTATCGCAGAACGATCGATTTAAATACACAAATACAAATTTTGATATACGTGCAATTTAATCTTTGTTCATTTTTCAAAGATAATACTTGCGTGTATCGCACGTGCTTTTCTAAGAACGCATACGCAAGGTTTTTAATCTCGTATCAATAGAAAGTAAATAAAAGAATGAAGCAAATGAAACCAACACACAAGTACCGTCGGAGAGATTCGAATTCTCTTCTGTTCTCGACCGTTGAAAGTTAACACGAAAATATTTCATCTTAATAAATTTGTGTTACCCGTCGGACAAGAGAAAAATCATGAATTTTTGATTAATTATTACGAAAAGAAAGAGAAAAATCAAGGAGACAAAATATGTCAGGATTGTAGTAATGCGAAAAGAAAACGAATCCGATTAAATCTAATTTCGAATATTCAAAATAGGAAAATAACACTAAAACCGTATTAAATAATACAAGGATGCATATTTATATGCAGGGTGTGTCTGTTTTAAAACAAATCAAAGTAACAAAATTATTATCCGATCAAAATGTTTTTCTTTTTTTATCAAAGTTGTGATATCTATATATGAGATTTGTGTGATAAAAATGAATAAATTTATTAACGATTTCAATGAAATTTGAATTAAAAACAGGACACCGTACATAAACTATTTGTCTAATAAATAAAATGATTAAATCATGAAAATATTATTACCTGCAATTAAGCAGAACTCCACTGTGATGACTAGGCGTACGTCTCCCGAAAATAGAATCCGATCATCCTGAAGACCGAATCCACTTTTTGGTTGTTAATATTTTTTTCTTGAAGAAATCGCCAATAAATCCTCTTTTCACCGAAATAATTCACTCATTCTTTTTCACAATAAGAACGTTAGAACTTTTCTTGTCCTTTGCATGTGTACCACGGAGAGATTTGATTTTTTTGATCAAACAATTGCGGAAAAAAATTAAAATAGTAAAAAATAAAACGAAAAGGTAAGAAAGAAAATTTGATCTCTCCTGGTAAGATTCTTCACCAATTACACGATATTACATTCGTAAAATCATCACCATTCACAAATGATTTGATATCAACGAAATATATATATCTGTGTATATGATAGATACGAATGGAATTTTCGCGAATACGTTTGATCTTCTTATTTCTTCCCTCGAGGCACCCTGCCTCCCTCGAGGAAGGTCAATACTTTAGGACCATTGCAAGAACTACATCTTCGTCCATAAGGAATGATAATCCAAATGAATGAAAATTCAGGGAATACCGAAATATTCTTTGGCGTATATGATAAAGTTCGTCAAGCAAACTTTCATTTCTGGTTTAATCCGTTAAAGGGAAAACTCGATCCCGGAAGTGATCGGACGCAAATCTTCGAAGGAACCTTTTAAGGTGGACGAAGGTAAAAAAAAAAGACTGAATTGGGAAAAAATAGGAGCGGCTAAAAACAATTGAATGAAATAACAGATAAAGAATCGATATGGTATAAAATATGGTCTCGTTTAATAATTATGGGAAATTTGTATTAACAAATATGATTTGGTCGGAAACTTGAGAGAGTTCTCGACGCGCCGACGCTTTCGTTCTATTCCCTTTAAAGCGGGCGCCGGCCGGCTTAAAGCCGCGAAGCCGGACGACGATTCCTTTCGTTCCTTCGTTCGTTCGTTCGTTCAGGTCCGTAAGAAGCGTTGATGAACCCTACGCGAATAGCGTATTCAAATTGTTCTTTTCTTATATTCGAAAGAAATCTACGATGTAGGAAAGATCGAAACAAAGATAAACGTTCAACGTCGCTATATTCTCTAGATTCGATTCTATTATCTATTCCCTTTGTTCCTTAACTCGCGTTCCGTCGGCGAAAACGTAGATACACATACACACAACTCACACTACGCTCCAACACACAGTTGCGCGCGCGCGCGCGCAGGAGCGATATGCGGTGGGGGGTGGAGAGAACAACGCGGATAACACACTAGATTCTTTTTCCGTCAATCACAAGAAAAAAAATCACTCACACGTCTCGTCTCGTTGTTCTCTTGTTTATTTTTGATTAATTTTCAAATAAACAAATTTGTAGGTTGACGCGGTACCGGTATACGAAATGCCGTCGTATAAAGCAAGGCTTCTTCACTTCCGGTAGAAGATAACCGCCGGTAACGCGATATAACGCAACGCAACGTGTTCACCGTAGAACGACTAAATTGTGACTGCGGCTTGCAGAGTTCGACGGCATCTACCCCTACCAAAGCAAACCACCCGGCCAGCCTCCTCAAGTCCCGCCCCCTGTCTACCGAGAACGTCCAATTGCCACACCCATTATTCGACTCTGCCCATCTCAAAGCCTCGAATGACCTGCCTCCATCCTGGTCACCCCCACCAACGACGTGGCTGACCTCTCGGTCACGCCCAATCAAGTCGCGGCTCCTTTTTCCCGCGATCATTTCTCTCCGCCGCACCGCGCCAAACCGAACTGTCTTCCTCCCTCTCTCTCTCTCACTCCTCCTTTTTCTTTCTTCTCTCTCTTTTTTTAGTATCTATATATTCTCTCGTGAACCCCCTACCCAACGAGCAACCTTGTCTTTTCCCGCGCTTTTAACTCCGTCGTTTGAATCTTCTTTATTCGATCGCTACTCGATCCAACAAACGAGATTAACATTTTCACTCTAAAGATTGATTTTGTTTCTCCTATTATTTATTTTATCTTTAAAAGTATAGTAACTCGCGTGCTCGAATGTTCCCTTGTGGTATTTGCAGGATCTTTAAAGACTAGAACCTGACTGTAATTACAAGGGATTATTGGAATTTTATTTTGATGTTGATGAGTGGTAATATTACAAACCGAAACGACTTGTAGGAAAAGAACGTTAGTATTAGTTACACGATTCCGGTGCATTTTTGGAAAATAATGACCCTTTGCTTTCACTCGGACCTTGAAACTATGTATTTTAGGGCAAAAGAAACTTCTAAGTAATCTTTTCTTCTACAGATATTTTTCATCTGTTTAAGCCGTTCGAAGAAATGTACTTTTTTACTTACTTGTTTCAAAGACAAATGCGTTTTTTAGATTTTGTCCATTTAACTAATGTAAAATACCATCACTGTTGCTGACTTGTCCAAATGTATCCTAATGTTTAGATTTTCTAAACTTGTAAAACTGGTTTTCAACCGTAATATGATATTCTGTAGAAGAATTTCAACTAAATTTCTTGCAGTAACATTAACACAATCGCTGAAACCTATCCTGAGATCGTATACAATAGAGTTACGATAAATCATTAATGAAACTTCAAGATTCCTAGATAGGTAAAAAAGAAAATCTGCTGATATTTTCAAATCCGTAATTTATCTATTGATCCCATCTAACTAACGAAAAAATAAAATCATTCATGAATGACAGGATAGAGAAAAGTTTGGTGCACGTTCGCTGCTCTCTCTCTCTCTCTCTCTCTCTTTCTCTTTTTTTCTGAAAAATTCACTGTCTCTCCGCCCCTTCCCAACCCCTCAAAAGAACTAGAAAGAAAGAGAAAGAGAAAGAGAGAGAACGGCGAAACCAGTGACGTCGTATTCCGTGTGGTTTTTTGCAGCGAGGAACACAGTGCCAACCGGTGCAAGTTCGTTGGGAATTGGCCACGCCTACCGACACCATCGCGGCCACGCGAGTTACAGGCATTGCGCGTGCGCGCTGAACGAGGAACTATATACGCGCGCTTTCGAATTACCCTCCGCCATCTTTCACGCGCGGTACGTCGGTGGAACGTCGCTGCTTGCTTACTAGCTTGCTTGCTTGCTCACTCGCTCGCTCGCTTGCAAGCTAACTTGCTTGCTTGCTTGCTTGCTTGCTTCCCTCCCCTTTCTCCTCCTTTTCCTCTGCAGCCACCTCCTCCTCTACCCCTCTTCGACAAACCATCCACCGGCCGCTTTCTCAGCTGCTACCGTTCCATTGCTGATACCACACGCGGTGTTGTACGTAGTTTCACAGCGTATAACTAGCGATATACTGTACTGGGATAGAGCCGTAGGACTAGTTACCAAAATGGCGCTTGCTGCCCGCGATATATGCTTTTGCATTACTGATAATAGCAACTGCTTGAAAACTTAACTTCAAATCTTATTTAAATATATTCTATTTTAAGAAAAAGACCTCATCGTACTTATTTTACCTATTATCGTTCTGATTTTTTAAATCTTTTCTCCATATCAATTTAAATCCATGTATATCGTTTCGAGAGATACTACGTTATTATTTATCTATTAAATATACTTTCACTCGTTCATACGTCGAATTCATCAATTGCATTTCTTTCTTTGGTGCAACGATTGTTACAAAGAATCCCGTACTTATTTGCATACAGTCAAAAATCAGAGTGTAAGATCGTTATAAGTGCGATAACTTATCAACTTTTATGTATTTCTTATATATCGTACTTTTTATCAAAATCGATACTAAAGTATCGCATGTTTTATTGCAGTTTTATATTTTCGCACTATTTTGAAATAATGATGCTTATATTATCGAGCGATCAAATTATATCGTTGCTTTGAATTATTGTTCTGACGTAATTTAATAAATTGTTACAAAACAATATTATTTCTATGTTTATTTAATGAAGAAACAAGTGAAAAAACTCTGCAATCATCCGTTCTTGCACTTGGAATATTAGTTACCAGATATGCTACTCCATTGTATGTAAAATTCGCGCTAAATAGTTTTTATGTATGACTTGAAATTCTCTTAATAAAAAATAAACTAAATTTTTTATTAATCTAATAATAAAAAGAAATTACATTAAATACATAAAATTTTTAAAAATCATTACTTTTTACATCGACGATTAAATTATGTAAAAAAAAAAATTTGCCTCTGCCGAAACCCGGGATTGAACCGGGGACATTTAGATCTTCAGTCTAACGCTCTCCCAACTGAGCTATTTCGGCACACATGGTAATACGAGTGTTTTACTAGTCTTAAAACTATTACTTAATATACTTCATGTTTTTAATTATATATATATATGTATATATAATTTATATGTATATTTTTATCAGTATTTTATATTTCAATATTGCTTCGTAACGACATGTCTTATTGATCATACTATATTGGTTATGCCAATATATTCTGAATTATCTGTCGACCATAATCTACATATTTATGTAACCTTAACAGAACTCTAAGCTTTATATTAAGTTCATCAGGTAAATACATCTGTGTATTTAATTACTAATAACTTTAATCTATATATAGCTTAATAACATTTATAAACTCTAATAATTATTGTTACTCTGCATTTTGTTATCTGTTATAAGTAAATATTTTATTTTCATTCTCCTGCATATAAGAGGTTAATGATATCATTCATACTTTTTTTAAAATATGCATATGTTTTTTAAAAAATATCCCTATAAATACATAATAATGTTATTAATAATCTAATTTTTTATTATTATTTTATAGAATAAGTTTCTAAGAATATAACATGCAGAAAGCTTTGCTTCCAATAAACAATGTCCAAACTCAAGTGATAGCAGAGGGTCGATGGGTTGAAGAAAGTTTCCCACAAGGTGGTAAAAAAGATGTGGTAATAGTTTTTCCAGGAAATCCAGGAGTTCCACAGTTTTATGAAGGTTTTATTAAATCCCTCAACTTAAAATTACCATCGGAAACTCCAGTTTGGATTATTGGACATGCTGGTCATATCCAACCGCCTAAAGATTTGGAAATAAATATGCCTGGCAACAATGAGTGGCATAAATATTATGGTTTGACTGCACAAATAGAGCATAAGGTTAATCATCCCTTCTTTCTTTTTTCTTCATTTTTATTTTACTATTAATAACATATTAAAATATATGCTGTTTTATATTATATAGATACAGTTCATAAGGAATTATGTCCCAAACGATGCTAAAATATATTTAATAGGTCATTCGGTTGGATGTTGGCTTATATTAAATGTACTAAAAGATGAAGATATATCTAAGAGGGTAGAAAAGTGTTATTTACTTTTTCCTATGATAGAAAATATGGCAGACACACCGAATGGACGCTTTCTAAAAAACTTTGTAAGTTTTTCTACTACTAATTTAAAAAGATGCATCTTTTAAAATGCTTACTCATCAATAACAAATTTGATTACAGATTTTACGTATAGTCAGCTTATTGCTTTTTTTATCTTGGATTTTTACATTTTTTCCTTACTATTTGAAAGCATTTCTAATACGTTTGTTTAGTATATTTTATGGTATTCCTGCCAAATCTATTAACGCAGTGATTCTATTGTTACAACCTAGCGTACTTAAAAGAGTATTTAGATTAGCAGATGAAGAATTGAAACAAGTAAAAGAACTTGATCATGATATCATTTCTCAACACATTGGTAAACTTTGGTTTTACTATAGCGAAAAAGATCAATGGACTCTGATCAGCTATTATAGAAACATGAAAGCTAAATATCCTAATATAGAAGCTAATCTCTGTAAGCATGGTTTTGCTCACTCTTTTGTATTGAATCATGACAAAGAAATGGGGGAAATAGTAGGTAATTTAATCAATGAGAATATATCAAAAGTCTAATTATTGATCAGGGTAGTAATAGCTTTATGTATTAATCTATTGGGTTATTATATGGCAACAAATGATGATAAAAGAATAGGTGAAATTATAAGTGATTTAATCAATGATAATATATCTCATAAAAATCTATAATTAATGATTAGAATAATAATATTTTTGATTTTATATAATTATTTAATCGTATATCTAACATTCCATTAATAAAATATTTTGTCTTATAAGCACATATAAAATGTATATCATGTACATTTAAACTAAATATTATAATCAATAACACTTATTATGTTTTCTATGACGAAATTTAATTATTGTTTGAACTTTAATCATTCCCATAATTTTTAAATAATGGCGCCTTAAAAAAGATTATCAAAACTTCTTTTGATTGGTCTTAAATGATCAACGACATCTGCCGGCATTGATTAATAAACAAATACGAATTTAACTTAAAATCATGTGGCGCTCTCTAAAAGAGCGTCTATCATTAAAGTGAATATAGAAAGTTTTGTACCTATTCTGTCATAAAAAATGTTTTTTTCCACCAATGTATTAAATTTTCATCGACGTGTAAAAATTACTGTCTTATAAAAACAAGTTCTCCCTACTTAGAGATCGACATCGTTAGAATGTGCGTAATCGTCACAGGGGACTGATTTTCATCGATGTAGTGATAGTATAGATAGTAGATAAAATATAATGATTTGCAATAGTAGATTATACATGTATATGTTTATCTCCGTACGTGTATAAACGTGCATATCAAATTTAGAGATATATTTATTTCAAGAAAAAACTAAACAAGAAGAAACCCCAGTGCAATACATTTAAATTAACGAAGGAAGTTCAAAGAAAAAAGTAATCCACTTATATTTTATGATTTGTCCGATGACAATTGTCAATGCATAATATCACGTGAAACTTTATCCGGAATGTAAATATTTTATTATTGATTTAGAAAATATATATTGAAGTATATATTTTATTATTGTAAAGTTTTGAAAAGAAGATAATACACATACCAATATATCGTTAAGTAGTGACAGCTTTATTTAGAGACGTCATAATTTGTATTGTTTATATTTATATTGTATATCTAAATATATACAAGATTAAAAGAAGATGTTTTCTATGTCTTTTAACATAACGAAAACAATAGAAGATATTATAGGTAATATATAATTTATATTCTTTTCGTATTCTTTTTTGTGTATATATACTTGAATAGCATGCAATGACACATTTATAGATTAATATTGGCACATTTATTCAATTTGTTGTAAATAAGTCAGTATTTTCTTTCTTTCGATAATAATTTATGTTAGAATAAATGTATGTGTTATTCATGTATCTAATCTTTAGGATATATATTGTCGTATTATTAGAGTAAACAATTAATTGTAGTTGTTTAATTAGTAAGAAAATAGATGAAAAAGAAAAAGAAATTGTATAAAATATATTTTCTAATTTTTAGTTAAATACATTGATGTGGATTTTACACTATGGCTGTCTTGGCTTTTACTGCCGTTACTTATAACATTTTTACTTCCATTTGTAATTGTTCTTCTGCTATATTTAACTATTTTAACGTTATACATATACAGATTACACAGGTTAGTATATAGAAGTAATGTATTTATCTCTCATTCATTACATATATAATATATTTCTTTAAGTTGAACCCCTATAGTAAATAATAAAATTAAATATTTAAAAAAGAAATTATTTTTGCAGAGAAAGAATTCAAAATGCTTATGGAACTGATTGGAAATTCGCGGCTCAATCTGTTTCTGGTGCTATTTGGGATGCGCATGGATGGATTTGGCATGGTACGATTTGTATAATACAATTTAATGAATAATAGTGAAGTAACAAAAGTATGTCAATGTAATAATTGTTGTAGAAGTGTATAAATAGACGATCATTAGTTATGATATTGATCGTAATAATAACTATACTAAAAAAATCTACCAAAATTTCTACATTATTGGAATATACATGTTTTTTTGTCAGGGTATGAAGTTGTTGGTTTAGAAAACATACCAAAAAAAGGTGCAGCAATGTTGATATTTTATCATGGAGCGATACCCGTTGATGTCTATTATTTTCTAGCTAAAATATTTCTATATAATTCAAGATTAATCTACACAGTAGTAGATCGCTTTCTTTTTAAAATTCCGGGTTGGTCTATTATGTCTGATGGCTTGCGTGTAATACCTGGTACAATTCAGACCTGCTCATCCATTTTGAAAGAAAAGCATTTACTTGCTATTTTACCAGGAGGTGTTTATGAAGCACAATTTGGAGATTCTTATTATAAACTTTTATGGAAGAAAAGGATAGGTTTTGCTAAAGTTGCATTAGATGCTAAAGTGGTACGTCATGTGATGTTATATAATTAACGTATATGATTAGATCATAATACTTATATTACATTGTAGGATATAATCCCAATATTCACAAGAAATATCAGAGAAGCATTTAGAACAATAACTTGGGGCCGTAGAATATTGTTGCGTCTATACGCAGCAACAAGATTACCTGTAGTTCCAATTTATGGTGGTTTCCCTGTCAAAATGGTAACATATGTAGGTAAACCAATTCCTTACGATGGAAGTCTTACACCAGAACAATTACAGAAGAAGGTAAATAGTATTGAAAAATTAGATATATCTTTAATTTAAGTTATTATTCTAAAAGATAGATTATTTTCTAGTATATTAAATATAGTAGAAATAATTTAATTATAATATTTAGGTCGCTGCAGCTGTAGAAAATTTAATAAATGAGCATCAACAAATACCAGGAAGTATTACACGAGCCTTGTTAGAAAGAGTTTTACCTCCGAAGAAGAAAACACAATAATCATGGATTTTAGAAACATATCCAAATGAATCCAGTGAAAATCCATATATGATATTTCTATATGTTACTATAGGATGCAATGTGTACTTACTCTAATTTAATATCATTACTAGTATTTTTAAACATACAAAAAAATTTCCTTGTTTTGAAAACAAGAATTCTTTTAAAAAAAGTAATATTTATACGGAAACAAAAATTTGTCAGTATTGAAGAGAATTCTATGTGAAATTTATATTTAAATTAGAGGCCTTAAAGGAGATTCCATCAAAATAATACATAATTTTATATATCTTGTATTTTCCAATGTGCTTTTATAGTATACTATAGTACATACTCTTCTTCAAAATGAAATTTATAAATGTTTCTATCATTCTTTATTTTATAGGTATATAAGTTATGGTTAAATATATTTAATTTTTTTATTTGATTGATATAAAACCATAAAAGATAAATAATTTTTAAATTATGACATATCTTTCTTAATATATTTATATTTTTCTTATATAAGAGTACAAGTACATTTATATATACATGTATATGAACTTGTATAATTATTTTTAGAACTATTTTCATGGTGCATAGTATTTCTAAGTATTTGGTTATGCTTGTGATGGGTACTTAAATATTTAAATAATTTAAAAGATCTAACGTTACTTTTAAGAGCTCTCTATTCTTTTATTATTTTGTATTTTACTTTAATTCGGAAATTATATTCTTTTAAAGTAACTTTTATTTTCGACAGGAATAAAAGAAATTCTACATTTAAAAAATTCTTATTTATATCGACAAAATATATATTTCAATTTGTACCACTTTTATAAAGTATTATTTTTTGTGATACAATCGTGTGATCCAACTAAACAATATTCATTATATCAATGTTTTAATTCTTATATATGTATATAAAAGAGAACATTGTAAAAGAATAAAATAATAAAACGTCTGTTGATAATATATAAAAGATATTCTTTAAATAAACCGATTTTTTTAACGAGGTAATAGGAAAAAGTAACGATATGAATAATTTAAATGTTACTGCAAAAGAAAACAAAGCCTTTGTATGAACAAATTTTATTTTATAATTTCGACTTAGCTTTTTATGTAGAATCACATCCTGCTCGCTTGTATTACGAGTTACAGGACATACTAAATACGATAGTTTTTAAATAAACTAATTCTAATGTATCTATATAAAAATAGAAAAAAGTAAAAAATTGAAATAGAAATTTGAAATGTTAGCGCCAGGAAATGTTAACATCGATCACTATAATTCGAGAGGAAGTAGGATCGATAGTGGCGTCTCTATCGGCGTCTTTAACAATTGATATTTCTTTCCTGGGGGGTATTCAGGGGTATCTAAGAAGACTTTATTTTTTAGCAAGCGGCATTGGCTCAGGATCGTCTCCAATCGTCTTTTAAGGTAGCGGAAAGCACGTTTATGTAATTTCTGCTAGCCGGTCTTTACGATCCCGTCCGCTCTAACGGATTTTAGTTAAGACTTTTTATTGAAGAAGTTAAGTAATCCCGTAGTGAAAAATAATCATGGGCGTGGATGTCGAGATTCTTATTCACGGTGATGGTAATTATTTTTTTCTCATTTTATATATCTTCCCTAACTTTTTATAACTCCATTCAACTAAATAAATTTTTTCTACAAAAATTTTCGATATATTACAATACGTAATGCTGGAAAATGCGTTTCGACTTTGGTCCTCCATCTCGATGTTTTCCGATTAAAATTGCTTTTTTTTTCTACACTCACAGTTATCACTTATTACTACTAGTTAAAGTCGAAGTTAGAATACATTTATGCCAGTCATCTACGTATTTAAATTAATAATAATTATTACCCATAAACATGCAATATATATTTATTTACATTTCCAGGCCAAACTTATCCCAAAACAGGACAAACCGTAGTTGTTCACTACACAGGTAAAATATCATTTATTAGTTAATCAACATATATAATAATTGTATTATTATATATATATATATATATAAAAGTTTATAAAATTTTATGATTATGTTGAGTAATATCACTATTTTAGATGGTATTCTAATTTTTTTTTTATAAATATATTGTATTATATATTTTTTTTTTGTTATTTTAATAAATAATAATGTTTTATATATATCGTTCTAAGATATGATTATATTTTTAAAATGATTAGTTCAATTATAATATACTTAAAATTATATGATAGGTACCTTAAGCAATGGAAAGGTATTTGACTCTAGCAGGGATCGTGGAAAACCATTTAAATTTAGAATTGGTAAAGGAGAGGTAATTAAAGGTTGGGATCAAGGTGTGGCTCAAATGTGTGTTGGAGAACGTGCAAGGCTAACATGTTCACCAGACTTCGCTTATGGCAGTCGAGGACACCCTGGAGTATATCCTTTAATACAAAGATAAATATAATATATAAATGTGCAGTATATTAGAATGATTATTTCTTGTGTTCATTAGTATTATTCCATTACTAATTTATAAATAATTACTTATATTAACCTTGACAAAGACACACTATTCCACCTAATTCCGTTCTTATCTTCGACGTAGAGCTGCTGAAGGTGGAGCCTTAGGATACTCTACAGAGTCTATTTGTACCGACCAAACACCTAAATATCTGAAAACTAAACAAAAAACGCTTTGAAATTAATTACGTTAAGTAGTCATTGTACAGACGGCACTTTGTACACAATAATTCAATCGCTCATATTTTTACAAAAAAACACATGTGTAATTTATCTCTTTTTCTTTCTCTCTTTCTGATTATAGTTTACATTAAAAATATTAACGAAAGAAAAATAAAATAAAGGAATTAATAAAGACTAAAATAATACTTACACTATATGAATTCTATAAATATATATTAAGATTATATGTAACTATACGCGGTTTAATTATTTTAACACTACTTAACTTGTGTAGTTTGCTTCGAGATGTTCCTGCAATGAGCGATTGAATAATTAAATCTTAAAACATTTGAAAAGTAATCTACAATCTGTGTTCATTCCACTTACTTAGCATTTGGTAAATAATCATTTGCATATTTTGTACAAAAATTTATAATATCACACCAAGTGTAATTGTACTAACGATGTAATAGTCCTAAATATTTACATTTTAAAATTCAATAAAAAATTGAACTTACTGAATAATTAATATAATTTTCATATGGTAGAAGGTATATGGATAATAATTATTAAATATCGTAGTACATTTTTCAAAGTTATTTTGTAATTATTGTTTTTTTCATTAATGCTTGAAAATTAATTTTCTATTGCGTTTTCTTTTAAGTTCAGCATTTTCTAATTTATACGGAAATGAGTACAACTGTACAATAAAACATAAAATAATTTATTTCATAAATTAGCAAACATTTTTCTTTTTATCTTTCCGTGTTTGTTTTAAGCGTCGATGTACATACATAGTGACAATAAATACACAATGATTATTAATATGTGCAAGCGTGGCACTTGTACTTAGTGTTTTACATTCTACACTATTATTGTTTTACAATATGTGCTAAAAATAAATACCTTTACAATAGAAAAACTTGGTTACATTCTATTCCCTTACTAAATTGATACTAATACTAAATTTCAGCTATATTCTAAATAACAACGTCAGTGAGACAATAAGGAAACTTAACATATAAAATAATATTAATTTTTATGATATAAATTATCTTATATGTTGTAACTGATAAATAAGTTGGTGTTACATTTAAGCCATAAAAATATTCTCGTATATAAAAATATCATGTATCACAATTATGCATGTATTCTTATGCATTGTAGTACAATAATATAAAGCAATATTGTAAATTGTAATTGACTTCCATGAGTGATAATAATGTTATTTTGACGAACAAACAAGAGAAGCATATATATATATACGAATATATTTACCTTTCTCTAATAAACAAATAATTCTGGAAAATGTATTTCGTAAGCTGGTGTTTGATTAGGTTTAGCATCCGTTTGTGGACCTCCTGGTATTATATTACGTGGATCAACTGTCAATGAATTAAATATTTCTGATAGTTTACTTTGTAAAACGTCGTGCTGTAATCATACAAAGTTAATACAGTTTAGTCACATATGTATCGATGGTTAATATATTTTATTCGAAACAATTTCTTTTCATGATACCTTCGGTTGCGTTATCGACACAAGATCTTGGAATGGTGCACTTCGGAAGAATTGTGAAAGTTGCATTCGTTTTTCCTCTTCTATTATATTATTGTTATTAGTTTCAGTCAAAATTCTTTTCATGCTTTCGAATGTCAATTCTTCACCAGGTAGTTTCTATCAATATAAGAAATAATATTAGTATTGCTACTGATAATTATTACAATAATTGAAAAATATACTTTTTGAACGCCTGGAGATGATCCACCACTATCCAGTTCTCCAGTACCAGAGTTAATATCGGCTAGTGAATTTCTTCCTGTGCCATCAACCCAGGAATGCCTTTTGAAAAGACATATACATATTATATACGTTAGCTATCAATTAAATACGAAATAACAGTAATTAATATTATGTTACCTGTGTTGTAGAGAAGTGCTACTGTAACCAGATCCTTGTTGAAGTTTTCCGCTATCAAGGCCAGCTCCTTTTAGACATTCGCTTACCACAGTTTGATCTACTAGCAATGTCAGTGCTAATCTTGGAGATAAATTACTGTCATATTGAGAATGTAAATTAGGCAACAGATGTGGGGCTTCTTTTCGGCGAGCTTCAACGACCTAAATAAATATTTTACAAATTATTGATTATAGTAATATTGTCATAATTTGAGTATATTTTATTTATATCATATAACATACTTTATGCGCATAATCCATAAGAGAAGTAATATTGCAAACATAAGAAATCAAAACAAGTAGACTAATAACAATAGCATGTAAATTGAATTTCAATGTAATGCTTATTTGGCCGCTTGTCAGTGCTAAATCTTGAAGACTCAAAACTAATCTTAATAGTTCTAAAATAGTATCCTCAGAAGCGAGTTCTACGACTAGTAGAGCTAAAGTTGTATATATAGATTCCACATTTTCAACAGAGTTGCTCGTCAACTCTAAAGATTCATAAAGTGCTAGATAAATTTCAGGTCCATGTTTTCGAATAAATATAATATCCGGTCTAGATGATTTCTCAATTACCAAGTCGAGTTCAGCTACGTTCACGCTGCCAAAGAAAAATGAGAATATTTATAGAAACACCTGCTGACCATAACGATTGATATAAAAGCTTAACTAACTCAACTTACGTTGGCTTAGCAAGTTTAGCTATATTATTATGTCTGTCGATTAAAGTGTGGAATATTTTTTGTACCAAGAGTCTCATTTCAGCATCTGCTGCTAAGGACATCCTAAGCAATGGTTCTAAGAAACTTGGTGGGAACGTCGTATTTAAATGAATCGTTTTATACTTTGTACCGACCTATTATCAATAAAAATAACGTATATAAGTTATTAATTATTTTTATTAAGATATTTTTTCGCTATATATCAAATAATTCATAATATGAATATAGTTTACCTTCAATAGAGATTTCAAAAGAATACTTTGGAGTAAAACATCTCCTTTACCAACAGGAATAATACGATCTGTTTGATTATACGGAACTTTACTCATTATGAACATCATTATTTCAATCTTTTGATAATCTGGGAGATGATTTGCAAACTCTCCAAGTGCATTGATAAGAGCTTCTTGATATAGCTGTTCATCATTACTGGATGATTGGTTTCTCGTTACACTAACTCGTAAATGAGATAATAACGAGTTGATTATCTCCAAAACAGAAGGACCTTAAACACATACACGCACACACATATTTATATATATATAATAATTGAATATTTCAAATATTTTTGTTCATATATATAAATATCTATATCTTACCAACACTTTCTCCAGCTGCTATTGAAATAATTTTGGACAATGTGTCCGCAATGCTCGTTCGTATTTTCGGTGATGACTTTGAATGATCATCAAGATGAGTCATTAAAGCTTCGACAACTGTATAAGAATATTGTGACTGGAAATAATGATTTACGTCACAAATAATCAAAACTTTTAATTAGAAATTATACACATAATTTAATATATAACCAACCTGTATAGAAAACATTATTATTCTAAATACATGAATAGCAAAATAATTAGGAACCCATAGTTGGTGATTATCTAGATGTCTGAAATCAATTTTTATTATCATTTACAAAAATGTTAATTTAATAATGGGCTCATTTATAAAAGCAACAATAAAATTATATCGAACCTTAGAACAGGTCTAATAACACATCGAATGTGTCCAAATGAAGCACGACCAACAAGTTCTCGCATACAACTTTCCGCAAATTGTGGTGGGTCAGGTCTTTCTTCAGTTGGACAATCAGGTGTTGCGTCTTCTTTGTTGGCATATCTGTAAAATAATTTATTTATGTTTCATAAATATATTTTGTTTCATTTGATTTTTACTGACCTTGTATTTTGCATATTGTATAATAATGAAGGTACTATTTTATCCATATGAACAGGTTCCCAAATGTTTTCGACCAAGTCATCAGAAAGAGTTTTCCTCACAACACCCTGCACATAAATATTTTTAATTAATTACATTTATCAGAAGTATACGTATATGCACATCGATACCAAATTATACCTGCAATCCTTGGATTCCCGCGAGTCTAATTTGTTTGCGAATAGTGGCGTCGTCATGGTTGGAGTGGCACATTGCAGAGTATTTTGATACAAAGAAATCGTAACGTGTGTGATAAGACGGCGTGTCTTCTTCGATGTTGGCAAATCTGACAAACTGGAAGAAGCCAGGACTTTGTTCAACTGAATTAAAACATATAATTATTTTGTATTACTAATCTACATAATAAAAGCAAAATGATATCACTCCCAATCACATGCATACACGAAAAAAACTATAAAACAAATGCAACATTTATTGGTTAGATATATTTTTCAGGTATCTTGTTAGATATCAATATTTTTATTTTTCTTCATTACTTCTACTATAAACGTTTACTTACAGATTGGGTAGCAAGAATCTGTAACTGAGGATCTGTTGATTCCAGTAATTTTTGGACCATTTTTAAAAAACTTTCAACGAACAGATTAAGGGTTTGAGCATGGCATGCAACTAAGAGTTGATCCATGGCTTCCATGGCAATAATCACAAATCCATTTCTTCTCCTGTTAAAATATTTTCATTTCATTTAGTGTAATCAAATAATAAATTATCAGTATTTTTATTAATTACAGTTATTTAAAAAACAGTTCAATTAAGATTCCATTACATAAACAATAATAATTAAACATGACATAAGAACAAGAATGACTAGCAATAAATAATCATTATTTTTTGTATTCACAATGACATACGTTTATTCTAGTAGGAATTATATAAAACTTACCTATATATGTCTCTGGAGGCTCTTTGAAACAAATATTCTCCTATTCTATCTAATTTTTCAGGACTGCTCAATGAATAAAATGTCAGCTTTTCCATATTATTTTTAACGAGGCCATCCTACATAAAAAAAAAGATTTTGATTTAACCATATATAGAGATGATTTTATACTTTCAAGCCAATATTGATTACTTTTTCGCTGATGTCTATAGTTATAGGAACCAGTAGATATCTATAGTTAACAGGTATGCATTTATGACATTAAAGTATAATGTCTCACTAACTATATCTTATATACTAAAATTTGATAAAATAAAAAGAATTATTTAATTTTATTAATTAAACAATAATTCAATAGTTAAAAACAAATAATAAAAAATGAAGTACCTGTGGGTTAACAGGAAAAATGTTGTCAACCAGTCTCTTATATCTTGGGCGTAGTGCAGAGCAACACCAGCAGCAACCTATTAAAATTGAAAAAACATTTTTGTCAGATAAAATCTTCTTGTACGAAATATAAAATAATGTCACAATGAAGTACGATCAACATTGGAGAACTCTTATGAACGGAAGATAGAAAAACGGATAAAAATACTTGTAAAATTGAAGTATTTACCAAACATTTTGACAGGGATATCTCGTATGCACTCAACACGGACGACCTTCGATTTCTACTAACTTTATCAGTCGAGCAAAGTAGCGACAAAGAAAAGAGAGAAAGAAAAATCAATAATCTTCCTTCGTAAACTGCATTACCAACAAATTGAAATTATTGGATAAAGAAAATATAGGAGTTCTAGTTAATAACCAGCCTTATCGATTGTCGGTAATTATGGTAATGCAATTGTAGTTCGTACAACGATCGATCGATGGCAGCAGCATTCTTGTTCCGATGAATGAAATAATTTTGAATGATATAGTATTTCTTTGACATTTTTTCTAACGATCTTTTTATTTGTCTGTTAGAATTTCTTTTAATAAGATTTTTCTGAAATTAAAAGGTAACAATTTGAGATGGAATGTATTAGAATCGTATCGAGCGAAGGTTTATATGCAAATAGTAATAGCACGTACGACGAGACGTCATGAATTAAACATTAACGAGAGCTCATTGAGAATTAATGGTATCACCAAGTAGATTTATGATGAATAAATTAATTATCGTCTTGGTGCACGAGACGAGTGCATGGTATTGTTAACGGTTAAACCCATAGACTATTAAGTATCGTGTCATTTTTTTAGTTTAACAGTTAAATGTAAATTAAATTCTTATACGATTGTATACGTGTACGTACTTACACATAGTTACACATAGGTAATCAACGATAAGAATGATGCTTTTAGACTTGAAAATAGCCATGGGGGTTTTACAACGTCGATGTAAGTCTTCGGAAATCAATAATAGCTCTCGCGCACATAGTTTGAACGCTACTTAAGACGATTGGTCATCCTTGCAGAAACGATCAATAATATCGTGAATAGACAATGTTCTGCTGTTGAAAGATAATACGAACGCTTTTCTTAAGATAATACGACCACTCGAGATAAATATTGAAAAGCATTATCTTTGTAAAACGTGATTATAATTTCCAATACGATACATGAAAACACATCGATTCTTCATTTCTTTCTTCCATATTTATTTACTGCAAATCCTTTTTCTTTATATTCATTAATTTATATTATAATGATATTTTATTCATATTGTATGTAAAATGATGATCGAAATTTTTTATAGTTTTCTATTTTTGTCTTTAATTTATACGATTAAAAAACCATAAAAAATTATGACATGAACGTTCCATTTTCTTTTACTGTTAAGATATGCTCGATGTTAACAAAGCTTTTGTCATAGCGATCGAATACCGATGCGTGTCTAACAATAACTACAGGTACGATGATCGGACTAAACGCACCTTTAGAAATCGTCGCACGTTTCAAGACAAGCATACTCGAAAGAATGAAAAGTATTTTAGAGCTCAGGGTTGTTCGTTCATTCATGGACAGAGATATTTGTTAACATTGAAGATCGTAGATAAAGTTCCATTTCATTGACCTATATATAGCATTTCCAGAGAGTTTCGATATTTGATCGTACATACACACACACAGAAAACACATTCATGACACTATGCAAACGTTCTTGTATTATAATTAACAATTCCATCGAGGTTCGAACGGAAACTGCCGTAGGAATAAAAACAGAAAACTTTCCTACAATTTTTTCTCTTCGAGAGAATAATGTCTGTCATTATATGCCATTGCGAAAGAGAGAGAGAGAGAGAGAGAGAAGAACAAACACGTCGTTTATTTATTTTTAAACAAATTATCAAAGAAAACGAAGGTAACAAAATATATAAGAATACGACTCGCATTGCAATTTTAATTAGAAAGATGAATACAAAGAAATAACAAAATGTACGAATATCATTGTATGTAGAAGCAGAATGCATAGTTTTTATAAATATGTAATTATGAATATTAGATTTACTTACATAAGTATGTTACTTGCTCTATTTATGTCAACATGGAACGTAAGTATTTATGCAAGCTGATTATAACTTGTCTATATTTGCAATTATTTAAATACACACAATAATGCATTTAAAAATCTACATGCACTACCGATCGAAAATTGAAGTACATCTATTTCATTTGGGTTATACATTTATATCCAACAAACTATTAGTTTCAATTAATTCCCCAAATCAAGAAAATACTTATGGATTTTTTGAAATTTATCAGTGTTCTATTTTTAGCACGAGTCATTTCATATTCACTTGGAATGAAGATGATATATTATGGATGTAAATGATCGATTAAATACTCACAACCAGGATCGGTGCATTTTTGTACGAGTGATCCAAAGATTTCAGGTGCCTCAGCTTCGAGACAACATCTGACTAGTGCCATATTTTTCGAGATGCTCAGTTTCCATCAGTTTCCTTTTCTTCGAATTTTCTTCCTTTCTTCTCTTTACTTTCCTTCAGTTTGATCTGAAGATATTTTTATAGAAAAATAAGAGATAGACTAAAGAAAAAGAAAGGAGACAGAGTCCCGTGACGACGACGCGTGGCGTCGCGACGCCTGTGTTCTACTAACCCGCATGCACAGCACAGCACAGCACACGAGGTGATCTCAACTACCCTTGATAATACTTTCTCTGGTTACGTCATTCGACAGAAGGGCGCCTGTGCCAAGGTTTGCCAAGTTGGAGGGGTGACAACGAGCGGCTGAATTACCACCCTTTTTTTTAAAAAAAAAAAAAAGTACCACCAAAAAATTCCAGACAAATAAATTCCTCGATATTTTTATACACTCTCGTCTTTTCTTTTTTTCTATTTTAATATGAACAATTATATTGGAATATTATTATTGTATATAATAAAATTCTGCGATTCTTCAATTTTTCTTATGTTAAATGCGTGCATGGGTTTATGTTGACCTTTAAAATAAATGGGAAAATCAATTTTTAAAGGATTATAATTGTTTTTGATTATCATTATTATATGTAAGAAAAAGAACACAGTTTGTTCGTATTCCTGTATCTGACCCACATGTTCGATCATACCAAACACAATGAGGACACTGAAGCAAATGACGTCATGGAGCATTCCGACGACATTAATTAATCACGTTAGTCTTCCATACTTTTGGTAAGGTTTGCATTTTCGATCGATGAAATATTTTGAATTGATTTTGGCACGTGTAGCTTTGAACGAAACAAATATTTTCAAGTTTTCAACATTTTTTGAAGATACTTTGTATAAAAATATCTTTTATTTATTCTTCGGTAGATTATTAAATAAAGAGAGATCCATATAAAAAAAAAATGAAAGAAAATTAATTAAAAAGAAATAACGGTTAAATTATCGTTAAGGAATGATTTCTAATTTGTCGTTTAAGTTTATTTCAAAGTTGCACTTGTGTGCAAAATGTGTAAAAATGTGTGTGTAAAAATGAAAGATCTATTAATTTAAATAATAATTATTGAAGCATGTTGATGAAATGAAATAATATCATTTAGAAATTTCATATACTTGCCTCTTTTCATACTTAAGATAGCGCTTTTTTTTTAGTTTACTAGATGAATTTAAATTTATTAAAATAATCGGCAAACAACGATAACACACGTATTCATCTTTTGTATAAATCTGTTTGTTTTAGGAAGAAGCAGCTGCAAATCAAGGCTATTGATAAATTCTAAATTACAAGTTATGTATCTATGCATGTATATATATACCATATAAGGAAAGAGTATCTTCAATCGATTGGTTGTTAAGTCATTGGAACTGTCATCATGATTCGTTTTACAATGTCCTATTTGGCTTTCTTCGTGGTCTGTCTTGTTGCTACAGGTAAAAAAGAAAATATGAAAGAAATTACAATTGGTAGAATTCTTACGCGACGAATTAAGTCGTAATTATTATTTATAATTATATTTGTTTGTTTTTAAAAGTATTTGCCGAACCACCCGAGCGTGTAGTAGGAGGTACACGAGCTGCTATTGGTGAATTCCCCTATCAAGTTTCCATAAGAATTGGTAATCAACATACGTGCGGTGGAAGTATCATCTCTTCAAGACATATTCTAACTGCTGCACATTGTGTTAACAATTGGGGTGGAGCTCCCAACAACTTTTATACCGTTGTATCTGGAACTAACAGTCTTAGTAATGGTGGTGAAGTTCACGGCATCAGTTCTGTTTCTGTTCATCCCAATTACATAGGTACTCAGGAAACTTCTTGGATCAACGACGTTGCTGTTATTACGGTAAATCAGAATTCAAGAAATTCCAATATTAAATCATCGATGATTTAATATTGTATTTTTAACAATAATTATTCTTTACGATATTTTATTCTTCCAGTTAAGATCACCTATATCGTTCAACAGACTTCAAAGTGCTATTCCATTGGTCGATACGGAAGTGCCGAATGGTAGTCTGCTCAATTTGAGTGGATGGGGTAAAATTTCAACTAATGGTCCACTTTCTAATGCATTACTGAAGACCTATTTGTTCGCTGAAGATTATGCCGTTTGCCAACAAGAGCATACGATACCCATCTATCCAAGTCAAATTTGTGCACTTAATCGAGTAGGAATTGGTGCTTGCCAGGTGAATAGAATTTATTCAAATAATTCGATTATATATTATCGACGTTTCGTTATCGTACAATCGATTATTATTAATGTATATTTCTTTCTAATTTTTTCTTTTTTTTTTTATTCGCAGGGTGACAGTGGTGGTCCACTCACTTACAACGGTAAAATTGCTGGCATTGTTTCATGGGTTATTCCTTGTGCTCGTGGAGTACCTGACGTTTTCACCAAAGTCTCGGCTCACCTAAACTTCATTAAATATGTTGTCGAATCCACATAAACGATTTAATCATCAGAAGCTGTTTAATTTAATAAAATATATCTAATAATCTTAAAACAGATTTCTCCAAAGTACTTATTTATAATTATTATTCTCTGTAATTTCTCTAACACATTTAAAATAAGAAAGAAGATTCAAAGACTTCGATTATATCGATCTTCGACCTAGGATAATAATAGAATAATAATTTTCCTGAAATATTTGTAAATTTATTAACAAACTTTATCAAATAAAGAAATATATATTATTCATTAATAAAACAGTTTTTTTATTTTTATTAAGTATGATAACTTAATAACATGTAACATTCACGCGAATCTTTATAGTTATTAATTATAAAAATTAACATATTCGCAAGATATGAAATAATAAGTCATTCGATTGCAGCTTTTCAGAGTAACTTCTCCAGGTGTGCAAAGGGTTAACACTAAATTTAATTCTACGAAATTTATTATCATACTTGCAAAAATCATAAAAATATTAGCAAAAAATATATTTAGTAACGCATAATATTAAAAAGAAGCTATGAGAGAAATTGTTTTAAAAATATTCAAGGAGATCGAAGAAACGGATTATGTTAATTAAATATTTATTGCATATTTATTTATTAAAATATTTACTGAAAATGTAAATCACAACAATATACCGTAAGGATTCTCTTTTTGTTCGTCAAAAATGAGTGATTAAATTCTTAATCAAATAGTCATTGCGTATTTAATAAAATTAAGATAACTGTAAACGTTGGTGAAGATATCAGGCATTCCACGAGCACAAGGAATTCCTCCAGAAACGACACCAATCACTTGATTATTGTAAGCTAATGGGCTGCCACTGTCACCCTGTAAATGATAAATATTCGATTAAATTTAATAATTATTATTAAGAATAAGGGGCATTTTAAAAGATAATTTTTTGATTTATCAATACATACGGAACATGTTCCAACATTCTTTTGTACGAGGGTACAGATCTGAGATGGTATGATATGTATGTTGCTGAAATAATTTTGGCATTCGTTTTGAGACAATATTTTGAGATTAAGTTTTCTGAGCAAAGGAGAAGCTCTTCTTGGATAAGTAGAGGTTGCACCCCAAGCACCAATTAAGGCATTAGTGTTGACTGGTGGTTGTTGGGTTGGCAGTTCAATAGGTTTTGCACGATCATTGAATTGGATTGGGTCGGCAAGCTGTAAGAAACAAATGATTTTTAGATGTAGAAAATGTAGAAAATTTAGAAAACATTTTCGTTCTCTAGCCAATTTACCTTGATGATACCGATGTCGTTTAACCAAGCATTCTTCAAGTCAAAGTCATGGTGGCGAAGATAAAGACTAGGTTTGTAGACCTGGCCACCGGAGTAAAGATTGTTCGTGCCAGTAACAATGGTTACCTCATCAGGTTCTGTGTCTATCAAAGGTACCACACAGTGAGCTGCAGTAAGGATATGATATGGACCAATGATACAACCACCACAGTGAAGGTTATTGTTTATCCTTATGGATACCAAGTATGGAAATTCGTTATCTCTAGCGAGTGAAGCGCCGACCAAAGCTTCAGGTGGCTCACAGTATACTGATCAAAATATTTAAATATGTTTGATTAAAATAAAAATACAAAATTTCCAAATGTTCGATTGAAAGAAAAAGATCAAATATTTATATCTTTTAAATTAATTCGCGCGGACAGCTTACCGGTGCTAACGATAGTTGCGAAAAGGCAAGCGAAGATTGCCTTTTTTATATCTTTACGTGCCATTTAAATTTTATTTTTTCTCGTTTAATCGATGGGTCTGGTCTCTCTACAAAATCAGATCCACAAAGTATATCGATTGAATGTTTCAAGCAATTTATATCAAAATACAATGTTTACTTAAGATCTTTATAAGCACTTGTGAATACTCTATAAAATTGTGAGCAACGCAGATTGAAACATAATTTCAATAATGTTTTTTCGATAATCAATATTTAAGTAACGAATTAATTAATTCATTCATTCGACATGGTTGCGTTCATATCTAATTTTAATCATTGAATTCACAAACGAACGATCTTCGCGAAAATCATCATCGTATCTAAACAATGAAAATATTTATTCGATTGTACGTATCTTCTTATCTTCGATAAGTATCACGTCATATGCATTTACGTTGCACAATGCATTGGTACGTTCATTATTATTATTATTATTATTATTATTACTATCATTATGATTATCTGCTTAGCATATCAATTTCAAGAACCCATTCGAAATGTTGAAATCATCTTTTATAGCTCGAGTGGTGATGCTGGTTCGAAAGGATAGGTCGGTTAATGAGAATTTCAAGAAGAAGAAGAAGAAGGAGAAGAAAAAGAAAAACGATGACCTAACCGACCCCCCACGAAATCTTTTGCAATAAACGCGTATGTTCCTCGCACGCATATAAATTCTTGCGGTTAAATTCGAACGTTTTCGAATTTTTGATCGTCATTTTTATATATCTGTTATATAATTATATATTATAATTACACGATAAAGAGAGGCAACGTTAAGATTATTTCCTTTTTTTTTCCCCCCACATTAATTGGTACATATATTAATACATCAGGATCAAATTAAAAAAAAAAAAAAAGAAAAGGAACAAATTCCGAAGACAACAAGAACACATTCGAAAGTAGTTTTTTACGTAATACTCGTAGAACAAGTAAGTACATTAACATTTAATGTGATCGTGCATTTGATCGACAATCGATTTACAAATACATATACACAGGTTTGTAATATATTATATATACTTCTTTACTAGATCCTTCGATGTTACGTAAATCAAGTCTTGTGATAAATGAAATCAACGAATTCGTTCTCTTAGCATGCTGTTTGAATAAACGTAGATGAATACTCATGAAGGATTCTCTCTTTCTCTCTCTTTAGCTGTCGGGTTCTTAAATGTCACGTGAAATTTAGATCTCGAAATTGGCTATCGAAGATTAAAATCGGAGATAGTAAGAGTGTTAAGTACCACTTTGCAGGAAGAGAAGAAGAATTCACTAACGAAAAATACTCAAGAGTGGGTACACGATCGAAGATCCTTCGATCAGTCAGAGAAGATATCAGTTTGTAAACGTATTATACAGTGAATATTCATTATTCATCGGTGCGAGTACCTCCAAAGGATCGACTGTTTCTCTTTCCTCTCCTCTCCTCTCCTCTCTTCTCAACTTTTCTCTTCACTTCTATATTTTCTCGCTCACTCCTATAACTTGCGGTATATACTCTCGCGCGATATAAGGCAATTAAATCGATGGAATGTGCACACACCATATGGTCTATCAATGGCTCAGCTACCCCGCTCGAATCAGCAACCATTATTATTATCGTGGACAAGAAGTAGCCGGTAGGTATGGCTACTGGGCCGAGACTTCATCAATTCTTACAATTCTCTTCTCGTTCATGGAAAATAGAATATATTTTGGTCATCGTTATTCATAATTCAATTATGGATTATTACTCGAAAAAGATTTCGTAAGAATTACGATTTTAATAGAAGAGATTGATATATATATATATATATTTATAACTACTTCTCGAAGTTGTTCGAAAAATTAATTACACTTTCATTTAGATGCAAGATACGAAACGTAGGTACACCTATGTTTCTCGTTCGATCATCGACGTCCTTCTTTGAAAGCTGACTACTTTAAGAAGAGTTATTATTTACTAGATTATTGAACGTCTCTCGTACAGGGTGTTTCTAAAACGTAACCATTACGTTTGAATTATTTTATTATCATTGATCGTAGATTGATTATTAAAATTAATAAGGAATAAGTAATAAGCGTGTGAATAAGATAATTTTTTTTCTAGAAAAATTAATCTTTTAATTTGTTAATTTAGTGAGTTAATAATCTTTAGGAACACCCTATACAAATTACGTGTCCAGAAAAGGTACTCGTATATATTTATATATATATATATATATGTATGTACGTATGTTCGCCGCCGGTTAAAATAGAAAGGATCGACGGTATGATTGCTTCCTTTTACGTGATTCGAAACTAATTCCCTGCGTAATGACGTTAAAGTCTTACAGAAGGAAGGGAAGAATATTTCCCGTTCCATTGCGAAACGGTTTTATAGATGGACTATCGAAGAAATTAGTTGTAACTAACATTTGGTTATAGGAAAAATCTTGTCTTCATTTTTTATTATATTCCATGTATTTTTAATGATACGAACGAACAAAAAAACAAAATAGTTACAATTAAACGTTATCAATTAAGATGTCTTTACACCTGATCATATATAAAACATCGCGAAGAACATTTACGATGTTATTGAATATTATTTTGTATATTCAATGAAAGACGCATGTAATTTAGAATTTCATAATGTTTCGTAGATAATAAACGATGTGTGATTATCGAATTTGTGTCATATGCCGAACGATGTGAACTTCAGCTGTGCAAACTTAACGATAATGCGATGTACGTCGATTAAATATGTGTGTTTTATCTGAATGTCTCATTTAGTTTTTAAAAAGACATCGATTGAACATATTACACTTGGAAATTTTACTACTACCTTGAGATTCTCTGATACAATCCTCGTAAGTTAACAAATCTCTCTCTCTCTCTCTTTCTCGTTAGTTAATATAACATTTATATTTCTTATATAATTATAAGATTTCAAAGATTTTCCTCTTAATCATCGTATAATCATAATAATTCCAAAAACTGAGGCCTTCCAACTAGCCTTTCTAAATAGAATAGGAGAGTCTCTCTTGATACATCAAACGATACAATATTCTTAGAACGACATAGGCTGTCGTTACGATACAATCGTACATCTCGGAGTACATCTCAAAGAGTTAGAGAGAAATAGAGAAAGAAAATGAGGGAGAGAGAGAGAGTTAGAGAGAGAGAGAGGAATCCTTCCACCCTTTTATGATTCATCGAAGGTGCCACAGCTAGTCGGTTCTTTTCGTAGAAGAGAAGACACGGTAACGAAGCTCGAGTCTGAGGTACG